AGGCCGTGCACACACGACACCCATTAATCAGGACGCGTCACGTCGGTAGCCAGTGGTGACATAATAACGTGTTCGCGACTCGCTGACAAACTGTTTTTATCGCGCTCGCTATCAATCAACGTACCTTTGACGCGCGCTTCCGCGTGGGAATTACTTTCTCCATACTCGTCTATCAATAAGAATATACTTGTTTAATGGAAATGAGTGATTGTCACTATATAGTAGTTAATCCTGGTTGAATAATATTTTTTTATACATAACTATGTACACAACATAGTTCTCTCTCAACTCGGTGCAAAAATATTTCTTCCTTTGTTTTGCATGAGTAAATTAAAATAATCGATTGATTCAGTTTATTAAAATTTAGAAATTATACAATACCGGAAACATTACGAATGAAAAAAGTTGTATGATTCATCCATTACAAATTCATATCCTTAAAGTTGAATGTACTTAAAAATGAAAATAACAGCATTCTAAATAAAATAAAACCTGACAGAATAATCACTCTATAGAGACATGTTTAATTCCTATTCATTAATAAAAACTACTAGACACGTCGTATATTATTTTTTATCACAATTAATGGCAGCGGAATTGTCATAGTGAATACTAAGTTAATAATGATTAATGATCTTGCACAGGAATTATAAATGCTACACAACTCGCTTGTTGAATATTTATCAAATAATAAAGTAATAATGCGTAAGTGTTGTCGTGTACCTATCGATTACATTGTATAAGGTAGTTGAATAATTGACACTTACAAGTTTTTTTGTAATGTTTTAAATCGCTGTGACGTGTGTGGTCTCGCCATCGTGATGCAAACGGTCATCAGCAAAAGTTATGCGACAATGCAAATATAACGACAATGCAAATAATTTTTGTGGATATGATTAATAGCTGCTAATTTCTGCTGTTATATCTAAACTGAGGCATAAAGAAGTATCCCTTAGATAAAATGACCAGTAATAGGATTAGCTTTTAACAAGCGAAAAATGAGTAAGTGTCTAGGTAGATATGGGTAAACACGTAGATATATTTTATGATAATTCCTGTTATATATTCTATCTTTAAAAGGTAAATAATAGGCAACACGAATGCTTTATTAGGTCCCTATTGTGAATTTATACGACAAGTATAGAAGCTAAAATGATGATCACTTTTCTGATAATCTCAAATTATATAGATAACTTGGTTTTAACAAGTCATTTTTAACCTAAGATTTCTAAAAGATATACACACGTATTTAACATTATGCTTTGAGTGATCACAAGCTCTTAATACCTGTAACTGGATGGCACTATTAGTCACGATTTCGCAAAAATTTATATAGGTAGTCTCACCTTTGCATCTATACCCCTGATATGCTTTTTTCTACACGCAAAAAAGAACTTAACAAAAAATATATATGTATGTATGTATCTGTAAAAATAAATTATACAACTAGATTTAACTAATACATTGGCTTTTGATTCAAAAGAAATAAGTAACTTTTAAGTAAAATTAAAAATAGAAATAAAAGGAGAACAAGGAAAACGGAAATTATAGATACAATAGTATGTATATAGTAGTAGTGTTAAAAATAATATTAAATATTATGCAACAACGTACTAAAAATAATTTTACTAATCAAGCGATGACTTGCCGACAACCCTGGTTAAACTAACTATATGAGCTGTCAAAATAAAATATGAGCCAATAAGGGCGCGTCGAGCGGCGACAGGGCCGTCACGCTAAAGAAATTACAATATATGAACTTATTAAAATATCTCCAACTTTTTTCTCGTTTCTCGCTTGGATGACACTAACGTCGAGGAAGAGTGACACCAGGATTGGTAACATTATTTTAGACACATGAACTTCCTCTTTGCGTGGCAGTGATTTGGATATAGAAAGCTTTTACAGATAATAAAGAGAGATGATAGTTTTGTTACAATAAATTACAGTTGAAAGCACATCAAGTTAATTCTACCCATAACAGTACCAGATAATATGGTATATTGAAGATACGCACCCATGGAATGTTGTCAGGTAACATTCGAGCACTAATAACCATCTTTATGTCTAATAATTGTTGGAGAATGAATAAGGAAGACAAAAATCATCGTTCTCAGATTTCATATGACAATAAAATATCACGACGCGGCTTTAAAATTTTATATTACTGTGAATCCAAACGCAATAGAAAATTTCACAAAGCCTAATAAAACGTTTAACTATCCAATCATTTTTCCGTACGCCAAAAAAATGGGAACCCATTACCAACTCATTTTTCTTCAAAATTGCCTCATTTCATAGGATTTTCGATATAATGTTCCAACTGATGATATTTCGATGACTAATAAATTCGATAGAAAATTGATTTTACTTCGGAAATGTAGTGAGCGGTGTCTTCAAACAGGGAATTTCACACGGACCGGTGTTAACTAGTTAAATCCCGTTTACAAAAAGTCATTTTACAGTTATGCGTCTGCGCACATGTGGTGGCGGTGGCACAAACATTTGACACGCGCGATCTGGCGGGACTTGACGAGCAACGACAAAAAATGTTGTTTATGATCCCACTTAACATACTTGACATTGTTTTTACACTGGGGAAAATATTGTTACACGAATTCTTTGGTGTTATAAATATTTATAAACATATTTATGGCTGTGTGAGTTTGTGGGCATTGTATTTATTGATGTCTTCAATCAAAGAAAAAATGACAAATTTATTAGTATGTTTAAGTCTGAATTTGATTTAATAAAGTGTAATGAGTACTGATCAAAATAAAGATCTAAAAACGAATTTTAGATGAGTACCGCGTAAGTCCAAAAAATATCAGTCATTGCTTCCGCAGGTCACTTAATAATTACAATGTGCACCTTTTTACAGCTCTGGATGTTAAGACAGCCATTTTATTTTGTTAATTACGACAATCAAGACGCAACAGTGACGAAACCTCAATAGTTCACTCTGGTTCGATACCCACTACGTTTACAAACAGTCCGCTAGACGGTAATAAAAAGTCAAGTTTTTTCGTTCGGAAACCGGGTGTAGCAAAAACTGAAACAAAGAGGAAGGTACACAAAAAGCGTGACGGACAGACGGACGGATCTTTTAACAGACATCTGTTCCTGGAGGTGTGGAGAATCGCCTTATTCCATGTGTTAGATTAGGTTAGGGTTTCTGGAATTATCGAGCTGTAAACGTACGACGTTATACAGAGTGTTACAAATATGTGAGTTACATTAAAAATGGATAAAAAAATTAGAAAATCACACACATTTCTAGAAATATACTATAAATTTTCATGTCAATTGCAATGACTTTGTTTGTCTTTTTTTGCAGATATCTTTAGAAAAAATGGGCAGTAACTCAATCATTTTAATAATTTATTAATATAAATAATTTCAGTCGTGACCCTTTCTCACACGAAATATTAAAACTAATATTTCTACAAATAAACAAGTTCTATTTGTCAGCTTGAAACATCTTAGTCAGTGCTTATTAAAGCTTCGTACAATAGTCGTATTTAGTATTTCTATGTTCGTACTAGACTACACTCATTGTAACATGCTGTACACATGTATGTTAACAATATCAAATAAATAGAATTTAATTTACTCTTGCAGATCAAGACACTTATATAGTTCTATTTTTAACGTTTCTTCCAATAGGCATGCTATTTATAACCAAATTACTATGACGAATAAAAAGATGATTACGTCACAACTTAGCACATTGACGCTAACTAGTGACAAGATCATCAATCAATCAATACGTTTATCACACATATTATCTATTTGTCTTTATTTGTGTATCTTTATATTTTTTCTAAACATGCCATGTTTTTATGTATATATTTTATTGCTCATTACAGTTTTTATTTTGAAATACACCTCAATTGAGATGGCATTTAGCAATAAGGCTCACCTTGTGTATCTATTTATATTATCTACCTATCTATTCAACTTTCTAACTAAACTAAGCTCAAACGCAAATCACAAAACTGCGTCAGTGTTTCGTTCGTAGAGCTTTAGTTAATTGGTATATTTGTCACGTTAGCAGAGGCGTTCCTGGACGAATGCGCGCGCGATATTCAATTTGCGAACGGAGCGAACGCCAGCCATGATGGAATATTGTCCATTTGTAATGGTTACTGTGCGAAGGTTGTGCGTGATCAATAAAGCTTCTATACAAATCAATTTTAGAACGAAATTCCAGCGTAATTATTACGTGTCAAGTCTTAAATTGTTCTAGTTTTAAATCACTTCATCTTATGAGTTTAAATTATATTTTTTAGGAACAAAATATTTAAGCGGTCTTGTTGTTCGTTCGGTACGGTCCGGTACGGTCCGTTGTACCGTAAATTTTCTACTTTAATAAGATTTATTCGTTCAAATATTAAGTTACATTCAATATAAGTTCTAAAAAACCAAATTCATCTTCTACAATAAAAATAATTTCATACTTAATTTTAAAGTTATTTTTACTTCAAGTGTCCCGTATAGAATCTCGCGTAAATGTAAAAAGTCGATTTAATCTTTCAATTGATAGAAATCTTTTCCTTTTTATTAGTAATCGATCTTATTGAGATAACTTATTAAATACTGAATAAAGGTACCATGGGGTACAGTCGTTACTTTGTGCTGAAGCTGTCTGGAAATTAAAGTTTTCAAAATTCCAAAAACCTTTCAGCATGGATCTACCAAAATCAGGGTTCTTTTTTTGTAACCAACTTAGCAGAACAAAAACATTTTGACGATTTTTTATTTAAGGTTTGCAAGCATAACTAACAGCAACTCATAACTCTTTAATAGCTTAAGTTTATTTAAACAATCAAATTAAAAAATTTAGGCATCCTCCTGTGTTAACATCGATTTTGTTTTGTATCAAGTCTGGCACTTTAGACGTATACATATTTTCGGATTCAAAATATACCTAACAATTTATTTGCCTACCAGAAGTTGTTGGATTCTTAATTGATGCAAGAAAATATTTATTCACGTACCTGTATGACTCTCATGGGTAGACCAGTTTCTTTCGCCAGCTGTTCTCTTATATGTCTCGTGGGTTTTGGCGTTTGCGAAAAAGCTGATTTAAGAATCTCGAGCTGTTTCGCCTTTATCGTCGTCCTAGGTCCGCGTCGCTTAGAACCTCCGTTGCCATCGTCTGGAGACTTATTCTCTGCTTGAGAATCTCTCGTCTCGGGGTCTCCATCCAATGAACCCTGCGAGTGGAAGAAAAACCACTGAATGCGACTATGTGGTATCGCCGTGTAATGGTACAGGCGTGATTGTCGAAAGGCATATATTGTAAATATATATATGTCTATATGTATATAGTAAAAATATACGAAAAATGAATAGACGAAATTTTCTTTTTTCTGTTAGAATTATTATTCTAACAGAAAAAAGAAAAAGTCATTGGTTTGTAAAATAAGTATTGTTAATTGGTTTTCTAAACTTGACACACTCCCCACAATAAATTCAAGTAGGCGTACGTTATATACGTAGGTCAGAATGTTTTAATTAGCTGGCGATAATCAACTAACCAATTTAGAAAAAATATGTAAGGCTGTCATCTTATTTTATTACATTACTCTTCTATAACTCCTGTTGGTATAAGGGAATTTTATTAGAGTCAGACTGGCCTGTTGGTATAGTGGTTAGTGAGCCTGACTGCTATGCCAGAGGTCATGGGTTCGATTCCCACCTAGGACTAATAGTTGTGTAATGGGCACGGTCATTTCTTTTGTGTCTGGGCATACTTTATCTATAATACATACGTATTTAGAAATATATAAGTATGTTTATCAGCAGTCTGGTTACCATAGTACAGGCTCTGCCTAGTTTGGGATCAGACATCCATGTTTGTGAAAATATTATCAAAATATTAATATTATTAAAAAACTCGTAGAGTACATATGTTTGAAAAAACGTGAAAAAAAGATACTTTTTGTTGAGTTATCAACCTTCAAATCACTAAAGATATCGGGATCATAATTTCGTCTTTGAGGCCTATGCACATGGCCGGATTTAAGTGAAGTCAGAAGAATCTTAGAACCATCTAAAGGTGCTTAGGTAAATGTTTAATGTAAGATAGCCTGTGGTATACTGGTTTAGTTTAAAAAGAGATGCTAGAGTAAGTGATGTGTGCTTGTTTTCTTCACAGATTCATATAAAGAATTTATGATGTCAGAAAATATGCCTACAGTTTTAAGCTACATACATTACTAAAATAGGTATATTATGGGCTTCCGACTTCGACTTCCGGATTAAAAGATTTTTATGGTGAAATAATGATTAAAATTGGCTTAGTGGTTTCAGAGACCACCAGCAAACAAATCTTTCCTCTCTGTAACATAAGTATAGATATATTATAAGTTATGTATGTAATGAAATACTTCTGAATGTAATATACTAACTTGGTCTTCCGAATCATCATGGGGCTTAGCGTCACCATTGTGCGATAATTCTGAATGTAGTGCTGGATGTGGAGCATGCGCTGGACTGCTTGAGTTGTTTGCGGTGCGGGATTCGTCTTCTTCTTCTTCGTCAGAGCCTGATCCTAGCAGTGAGTCGGCTGTAGACAAGAGAAAGATATAGTTCAGTTATAGATATATTATAATTTTGCGCTTTAGCACATGAATAAGATGTGGCATATAACATATGTTTAAACAATATAAATAAAAAAGTATATGAAAATGATGTCAATTTTTATGAAAAATTAATTTACTTTATAATGCATTCAGTTTCACTTTATTAACTGTTAAATTTGGATCTCTAGACTAGATACACGACTATCTTATATACCTAGACTTATTAATCTTTTAATGAAATGGTCTGGTCTTTAAGATTTCATGACTCTGTCATGCATCTGGGAGATTTACAATTATGCAAAGGCAACTCTTAACAAAAAAAAATGCTATTTTCTTATTGTCGTAGGATGCTTTGTGACCGATCGCGCACGGTTTTTCCGAAGCACCTTATTTTTATATTTTTGCAAATTGTGCCGAAACCTAACATTATTTTACGACGAGTATTTATTTTACAAAAAATAGTATTAAGATTTCCTACGAGGCATACAAGCTGAGAAAATGAAGGCCGAAAAATCACGATTATTTAAAAATTAAAGCGTGTTTTCTCATAAAGTTTCTAACGGATTTGACTTAAACAACTCTCATTTTCTTCGTTTTTTCTCACACTATAACCACACAACACAACTACAATAAACGGGTAATAGAGTTTATGTCGGTAGGTATACACATCATGCACATTTGGTGCATTGGCGGACTTAATGCCCAAGGCATTCTCTACCAGTCAACTTATGCTAACCAGATTTCCATAGATACTCATAAAATCGACTATTGAAAACATTCCATCATCACAAAAAACAACTCAATCAGCTAATGTTGTCGACTTGCGCTCTTCTGAGGCCCAAGTGTGAGTTTATTTGACATCTACCCGATCGTCACGGTGACCGCATTTGGCGCTGCGATTGGCCCGCACTGAAATCTTCACCTGCTGTCGAGAGCGACCTGATATGAAATAAAGTTGCACTAGGCCCTTTACATAACAGAGAACATTTTCTTCAGAGTCCATTTAAAAACAAATATATTCAGCGTATTTCTTTCAAGTTCCTATTTACCTACCTTTGAGGTTAGTTATATAAACATACACATATAGATTAGATGCAATTCTATTCATAGCTAGATATACTGTTATTTTAATATGGTCATCTATAAGCGTCATATGACATCAGACAGATCTAGAGATAAAATCACAGTCGAAGTCTTGTAAGCCATCGAGATACAAATCTTTATGTACATAATAATGATTACAGACACGTCATACATGGCTGTCTGATCCTAAACAAGGCTGAGCTTGTAATGTAGTAGGTAACAAGACTGGTTAGGTATATATATGTTCTCTCAGAAGCTGAGTGAGAATAGAGCTCACAACCTCGGGCTTTGCAATCAGGACCACTCACCACTACACCGACAATTCTATAATAGTCCTCGTTAGATATAATGACTGAATATATGAGTTCTATTCATTGGTAATAGAAACGCGCCATTTTTTGGTATTTATACACGTTTGGACAGCAATAACTGTTTTTAAAATAACTATAGTCAATTTTTTATGGCATAAGAGACATACTTACATGCAGACAGACCATCTGATGTTTAGTGACTACCGCCACTCATGAATAGGTGCAACAAAAAATGGACACAAATGCATTGCCGCCCTTTAAGCGTGCCCCTCCCTCCCCGCAATTAGAGGGGATAACTGAGCCTCACACACGAACGAAAAAATCAATGAAAGAACTGCTTAGCATCGATTGTATGTATCACTCCAGTCGAGAGAGCTGTTGTACTGTAACCTTGTTCAAACATCCCATCACATACATCATCACATCCACTGCTGGATATAGGCCTCTCCTTATATAGAAAGGAGGATTTGGACTACTTTACCACGCTGGTCGGACGGGTTTGTATAGAGTTTGTGTCAAGTTTTCCTTCTTTGCTGTGCTGTGCTGTTGTGTGTGCCTGCGTAGTTTGCTCCCTTAGTCGGCTCTTATTCGGCTACGGGATGAAAAGGTGTGGTGACAGTCAGTATTCTTAATGCGTCACCACACGGAGCCTAGTCTGTTTAAACCTCTAGGTATATCTTCAATACCAAAAGTGAAATAAGAGTGTATATCCTATGTACCTATGTAGATGCAGCTTGTGAATTCTATAAGTAAGATGTATCTTAAAAATATTATATTTCAAAATTTAGTGTCATCATCTACAAGAGTGACTATTAAAAAGCCCTTTAAAGTAAAATTGACTTATCAAAAAGCAATCGCGCCACCCCGTGCGGGTTTAACCAAATAAAAATGTAATTTCAAGTGGAGCGGCCCCCAAAGAAATGGGCACAGAAAGAATTAGCCGCAAAAACAATTACTTATGACGAAGGGAGCCTGTGCCGTACTACTGGTTTAGGTATAAAATTCGCAAAGATTTCGGTGAAGATTCTTGGTAAGCGAGTTCCGAGTGAGTTTGTCGTAGAAATCTATTTGGTAACGAATACTTGGAACATTAATAATTTACGTAAAGCAATTTATATTATATTGGAAAACGATAACTTTATAGCTTTAATCAAGAAATATAACACATAGTTGTGATAATAGTTGGACAAAACAATTTTAATCTAATCATGTTTTAAGTATCTGCAAACTATATAAATAGTTCAAAACCACTTGATATTTTATCAATAGACAGTTATTTTACTTTAGACCCGTAATAATCATAAATTCTGCAACATCATCTAACAAGGCTTGTCTTAAACTCGAAACAAACTCGTTTGAAAGTCTGTAAAGTAAAAAAATTCGTGATGGTGGATAATTAGTAGGGGTATAAAAACCGTTTATTCTTCGCAAACATGGAGGGTCGTTGAGAATGTTTGCAACAGGGAGACCAAGTGACCGGGACACTTAGCACTACCATAGACTTGTAAAGTGTAGACTAAGCTAACACTACGTTTTGTTGCTGCCTCTTCATAAATACTTCGTTTTCAAGCATTCATCAACAATGTTTAGATTATACTTATTAGATATTTGGCATTTATTTAAGACAGTGCCTCCTATCTACTCTCGTATAGGTACATATAGTTGTATCCTCCTATCCTTAAGCCAGTTCCAAATAAAATTTAAGGTAGGTACTTATTGTGTATTGTATGCTCAAAGGACAAAAAAAAATAGTTGAAGAGTTGAAGTTTGAAATTCACTTTCAATGGGTTAAGAAATGGTCACCCATCCATAGACTGGCCTGTCTAGGATTGCTTAACTTTGCAATGTGTTACAAAGTTAACTACTCGGTTACCATGCCATGACTACCTCCACAAAGATACACACATATGTATAGATATATGTAGGTATACCTAAGCTACTTCCATTAAAAACAAACCAAAATCTATTAAGTCGTTCACTTGGTTGAATAACCAGTCTCCTTTTGAAGTTTAGTTCTAGTTCGCATTAGGAACCTACATTTTAAAAACCTAGGTAAGTATATGATTAACAAAACTTAAAATAAAATATCATATCAAAAAAAAAAAAAAATAAACAAAATGAAAGCTATTTCGTTTTTGTATCCTGACGTAGGATGCTTCGCCGTATGCTTGCCCGCCGGCTATGTTAGGGCGATTCACCACACCATCTGTCATAAGCCGAGATGAGCTTGTCTCCTAGAATAGATGGTGTTGTATGTACAAAATTATAATATCATCGTAAATATAAATTAGAAATAGATTATAAAACGATAAATGTAGCTTTCAACTTACAGTCTCTAAATACGTACTTGAAAAGACAATAAAAACCATAATTATTTAGTAACGTATTGTCCACTCTCACAAAAAAAACAAATAGGTAATCTTTATGACAAGGAGAACCAATTTAAAAAAGTTGTAAATTCTAAATTTAAACAGACTGAAAGGCTTCATACGTAAATTTTTCATCGTTCTTTTTTATTTGAAAACAGAACACACGTTTACATTACAGATTAGATCCTCATTTTTCTATACGGTTGCGTGGCAACTAAAGGGCCCAACTTAATTAAGCCGATATAGACGATGAGCCAGCGTTACCGCAGCTTGACTTAGCCATATTAATCTTGTAGCGTTTCCCGCCACTGACTTGCGCTTCCTCTACAACTCGCAAGTCATTTGGGGGGTCTGACATAGTTATAGGTAGCGAGAAAAGGTATTATACGACTTGTGTACTATTCTAATTTATATCTGTAATTAAAGAATTCAGTTTATCTGACTTTCTGTGAAGCAAGAAAAAATATGTAAGAAGGGTAGGTTTTAAAATATAACTTACCGTAAAAAGAGGATAATAGGTACATATCCATACTTTGACTAAAATATGTTTCTTAATTTCTTAACACTAAGCTCATGGTAATAGATAGGTACTCAGTGTTTCTCAAGTGCAGGCAAACATTGACGCCCTTTGAACAACACAACAAACACAAAATATTGATCAATGAGCTACATATTTTTATCACTCATCACCGATAGTCCTAGGAGTTTGTCTACCCTCTCATCGTAAAAGGTCCGCACACAGAGGGCACGCACCCCGTATAGTAGGTATACAGTAGGTCCCTCCAAAAGCAAACACTACAGAATGTGATCTTTTGTACTCCTTTGTGTGTGTTTATTAAATGTTGTGAAAGTTAGAAGAGGCCAGTATTGATCTAATGTCTAATAGACCGCCTTTAAATATGGTTAGGTAAGATGAAAATTTAAAAACAGAATGTGAAAGAATAAGTAAAATTTTAAGTAAGAACGTAGAAGTTCTTGACTAATAATTCAATAATATGTCAAATACAGAACACAGTTTAACTGACAATAATTTACTGAATTTTGTTTTAGGCGAGGGCTGTTCACCCGCTCACCTATGAGTTACGCCCCGCTTCAAAAATCAATTTTAAAACCGCCCCCCGAATAAACGACTTCCTTTGTCCCGCTGTACCTCGCTAATCGAATTTTGGCGGGAAAACGGTATTTTATTGTCGCTCAATTTCAAATAAGTATAGAACACTC